TCAACGGATATTATTAGTGCGCCGAATTTAGGCACTGCACTGAATTAGGCATATCTACCCTATATGTTTTTCACTCTAATATAAAATAGTTTTCGTAGCAAAACTACGTAGTATATTTATTCGGATTTCGTTTATAATTTCCGTTTCTGGCTTGGCACGATGACGTCACGCAGCTAGCTACGTATAAACCAAGAAATTTACGCCTTAATGACGAAATTTATGAAAAAAGTCAGCCATTTTATAATTTGCCTCTTAAACATAGTTAATAAAAATTAAGTATATATGTATATACCAATTCGATCTTGAAAATTTAGTCTAGCATTACTTTTGGTGCTTATACGTATCTCTTTGTTCATTGGGCGTTCTAACTTGTCTTCTATATGTACTTCTATCGTTAGTATTTTAATAAAGTTTTTCTTTAGTGTTTGTGTACTGTAGTACCAGCTTGGTCGAAGCATTTTTTTGAGATATGCTAGATTGAGTCACTTTCTCTACGGCCTTTATAAATAGCCATTCACGCTATAGTTGTAATAAAAACGAAAAATTGATTAAAAAAAGTATGTATTCATAATTCAATTAAATTTTTAATATAACACTAATCAAAATTTTAAATTAGTGCCAGTCGAATATCTTCAATTCCATTCTAATACAAGTTTTGTGAACTTTAAAATTCAAAAAGAATATAATGTGATGAAAATTTATTTCACAATTAATAATGTTGAAGCAGATTTAAACTCACTATTTTCCTGTGGGATGTCTTTATTAGTTAAATCAAAAGATTCGTTTGAAATTAACCCTTTAGGCAAATGTATCACTTTAGACATTAACGTTGAAAGTTTTACGATTTTTCATGGGGAAAAAATCATTTACAAAAATGATAATTTATTTGACAAAACTTTATACTAAAATAAATTTTAAATTTATTTAATAAATCATATTAAAGTACACCATGGTGCTCAATATCACATACTTATATAAAAATTTTAATTTAAAAAAGATTTAGGATTTAGGATTAGGGGTTGGGTTTATAAGGTGGGGTAAGGTTAGATTAAAATTATAGTCAGGAGAGAATTTTTGGGGGCGATTGCTTGAAGTGTATCCATCATGAAGATACCATGCAAGATATAATAAATAGTTGTGGTTTTCTTAAAAATTCTATTGTGAAGAATTTTCCAAATGCTTCTTTGCTAAAACTATATGCATTATATGCATTTTGCAACCGATTCGTGTTATATTTATATTGGCTATAAATTTAAAATTAATATATGCCTGTAATTGATTTTTAATTCTTGTTCTAATTTAAATGTTGGCATAATTAAAATGAATCATAGTGCCTTTTTGGTTACCGGGTATATATGCAGTATTGTCGGTTGTCCATGTTAAGCATTTTTTGGATAAAGCCCGTGGGCACTGAGAACATTATCTGCTACTGATCCAATACAGTTTTGTAAATTTGCAAGCTTGTTAATTGATTGATTTTTTTTAAGCTTGGACAAATATTTTCCTAGCAAATTACACATAAGTTTGGCCATTTATTTGTATCTATAGAACTTTTTTCTTAAGAAATTATATAAGAATTTAAATAACGATTCCATTTTTTGTACACGAGTTGATTATAGCGCTTTGCAAAAAGATGTGAACATGTGATTTTAGTGATGATGATGGCTGAGAATCACTAAGATTCCAGATTGCCTTTTACTTTATATTTTCGATTGGTTACGTTTATATTTCTTTGAAATCAGTTTGTTGCTCGCTTAATTTTTGTCGAGTTAAAATTATAGTGGATTCATTAAATGGGGAATTGCTCAAAATCCTGGCTTACCATCAGATCCTGAAAATTGGACGTTTAATTCTTAAAAAATCTATAAAATCTCCGATTCTCACATGAAAAATGATCTGCAGTGTTCACATCTTTTTGCAAAGCGCAATAATCTGCAAGGATTCCGAAAGGTGAACATTGGTACCATGAAACTTCTTTATGCCAGGTGCTTAGTGTAGATGCTGATAGCCATTTTGTGAAGGCTCTAATCAAAAAATTCATAAATAAGATGCAATGATTTGACAGTAGCGGTTAACGAGGTTCATCCTCTTTGTGAAATTTTTGTTGAAAGCCAAATCATTCTGGATGAGTATTTACGATGATCGTAATAACTCATTAAAGCCTCCATTCGAAACAACCTCAATCGTTTTTCTCTTCGCATTTGAATTTCTTTTTCATAATAATAATCTCTTCAATTCTGATAAAACTTTTAAAGGTTTTATCTGAAGATTTGAATTATTTTATTTTCGTATTAAATCAAATAGTTTTAATGTTTTTTCTTTTTTGTGGTTCTGGATATTTACAAATGGATTGAAATATCACTTGTTCTCGAGCAGTATTTGTAATTATTGGAAGAAACTCAAGAATAAGGATAGGTTGGTTATGGCTGATATAATCGTAACCAATACTATTTATCGGTGCAGTCGATCATTATATGTCATTCATGGTATATAATAACAAAAATTTGAATCGTATTAATTTCTTAACGGAATCGACCAAAAAAAATTTTAGTAAGGTGTTATTTGCATGATCACGATATTGATACGTATAATAGCGATTTGCGATTCTTGATAAACTACATCAAATCACTTAAATCACAGAAAATCACAGTTAATCACATAAATTCATTTGCTACGAAAAAAAACAAAAAGGTATTAACATGTATAGTATAATCGGTCAAAGGAGTATACTATATAGAATGTATACATTCAGTATAATTTTGATAAAAAAATTATACACTTAGTATAATATATAATTACTAGCACTAGTCGAAAATAAAAAGTTGAATACTATCAAACCACACGGTTAACCTTATTACGTGACGCATGTCCGTAACAATGTTGAATCAAATTACTGTTATTTACTGCGCTTTTCAAACTGCAAATTTATTACAGGGCACGGCCTTACGTCCGTGCTATAGGAAGTATAAAGCTAAGCTATAATAAAATATGGTTATTGTATCTTATGTCGGTTTCATACAAAATTACTATTTGGGGTGTCCCGTTTTAATCTTATTTGAAGATGTTTCTATTTTGTTCAATTTTTAATCACGGTTTAAAGGATTACTCTCCTCACGTGCTACAATAGTTATGTGAACCCTATTACTAATCAAAAATATAATAGAATTGAGTATTTCCCGTGAATGATCTGCAGGTCAGACTGATCATGGGATTTTACTATGTAATTTACTGGCATCTAATAATAATATAAACTCTAACCCTAACATCGATGGGCTTTAACGTTAAAGAATTTCGTTAACCGCAAATCTGTGCCACAAATCTGGCACAGAATTCATACGCAAAAGCTTGTTATTTGATTGATCAAAAACAACCTAATATTTTCAAATTTTTGCATTTTTGTCCAAAATAAATTATTGCAGTTTGATATTCAAATATTCCTGGGTCATTTAACATTAGGAAATTTTGATTACAAATCATTTATCGTAAGTTTTCTTTTTGCCGTACTATCGTATTATCATGGCAGTTTTTTTTTTTTTTGAAATTATTATAGGCATATTTAAATAAAAAATTTTCTTATCATGCTCTGAATAACTTACTAAAGCTTACAAAGGGTGTCATTCTATTCGAAACTACTTGAATAAAAAGAAATTTTATCAAAAATGTGGTATGATGTCTTAAAAACTTCTAGAAGCCTAAAAGATACTCCTGGTTGAGAAATATTCAATTTATCAGAAAATGAATAATGATATAATAACATTAAATAATCATATAATGATTCCCGGATTGTAAAATATTTTAATAAAAACACTGATGACTAGGAATAATAATATTTTTAGTATATAAGTAATAATTAAAATTTGCAATTACATTTTATTTCTTTTGATGATATAAATTTTTAGTACTGTTATTTTAAATTTATAGCGTGACTACGAATATTGTAAAGCTCTTCGAGTAAAATATATCTTTTGCAATTTTTAGTTTAGCGGTTTGACACCATAAAATGAATTATTTTTTTCATCAATTGATTTGGATTCGCCTACATGTATGATCAAAAAAAATAATTAAATATTTCATGCTATTGTAGAAAAAAAAAAATAACTAACTTTGAAGCTTTAATGTAACGATAATAAAAGGAGATGCTAACGCTGAAGATTTAATCAAAATTGTTTGATCCGAAATTAGAGGTTGGAATCGAAAGATCGGTTCAAACCGGTTTCACTTAAGAAAAATGAATTTCGATTCCAAACTCTATCCGAATCACATGTAACCGGCAAATTTGCCTGGCTACCATTTTTTTTTACGGGCCACAAATTTATGTCTCTGTTTTGGAGCATTTACATAAAATCCGATTCTTGAACTCAGTTCACACAAATGTACTAATAATTATTCTTGCGTGGGCAATTCAGTAAAACCTGCTATCGCTACTACTTTTTGATCCGGAGCGAAGCGGAAGATCATTTAATGTCCAAAATTACGTTTTTTTTTTATGCATTTCGACAAAATTAGTGCCTTTTTTTGATGCTTTTCCGAAAGTACTTAGATAGACTAAGTCTGCATAAACAATATGAAGATCATATCAAAACGTAATTTGGAATTTTTTGTCTGTCCGCACGCGTGTTTAAATTTAAAATTTAGTATAACAAAAATATGCATATTCACGCGTTCGTGTAGCAAGTTGATATGCTCCGGATCCAGTGTTTATTTTTCACAGTGTGCGCATGTGCGCGCACTGTGCGGGTCCAATCAAATTTTGAAATAAAGCAATTTGATTGGATCCGCATAGTGCGCGCACATGTGCACACCGTGAAAAATAAACACTGTCCGGATCTAACATTTTCCTAGTATAAAAATATCTGATAAAGCGATTTTGGTCAATCACTTACATATCGCTATGTATTATGGATGATTAACAGTTAACTCAAAAAGGAATATATTGACAAGTTGGACCTATAAATACTTTGTTTTTCCTATTTACAGTACAATAATGCTCGATGACAAATATGTCGATTCCTCTTCGTGAACTTGGAAAAACCGGAGTAATGGTGCCTGTCATTGGGCTTGGATGCATGGTAAAGAGATCATAAAAGAACTATGGTAATTCTATCATTTAATTTTGAGAAAATATTTTTAAAAATGATAGGGAATGAGCGAATTCTATGGTGCTAGTGATGAAATGGAGAATATTAACGTATTACATCGTTCAATTGAACTAAAGTGTAATTTATGGGATACTGCAGTATGGTCTAAGTTTCACAGTATGAAATAATTGTAAATTTATGCGATTGTTCGATACCCTAAATTGTTTAATACTAAATAATTATAAACAAATTTATTTTTCCCTTCAAACTTATCTTTAAAGGATATCTACGGCATTGGCCGCAATGAAATGCTTCTTTCAAAAGTTCTTAAAGACTATCGTCATGAGGTATTCCTTTGTACAAAATTTGGTATTACCCGTTCTTCAAGCGGAGAATTTTTAGGATACAAAGGTGCTCCAGAATATGTTCATGAAGCTTGTAATAAGAGTTTAAACCGATTGGGAGTAGATTATATCGACCTTTATTATCAACATCGAGTTGATAATAATACGTATGTATTAAGTTGTACAGAAATTTAGATTTATCTTTGTTCTTAATATTTGGAAGAAATTAAAATGCATTTGATGTTAAGGCCAATCGAAGATACTGTTAAAGCTATGGCGGAACTTATTAATGAGGGTAAAGTTAAATATCTTGGTCTTTCTGAATGTTCTGCTAGTGACCTTCAACGCGCTCATAAAGTGCATCCAATTTCGGCTCTTCAGGTATGTCAACCATTTAACATTTTAAGCATTGTTAAAATTCTTTTGATGCCTAAGTTGACTTACTAAATTTTCTTCGCTTTCCCAAATAAAGGTTGAATACAGTCCATGGGCTCTTGATATCGAAACCAATGGAATCAAGGAGACATGTGAAAAGCTTGGTATTACGATTGTCGCATATGGCCCACTAGGCCGTGGGTTCTTAACTGTAGGCATTAACAGATATATGATTAACTTAAAACTCCAATGTAATTGTATTTCCGTTGATGCTATTATGAAATAAAATCTGAAATCATATATTTAATCCAAAACATGTTAGGGAAGATATAAATCAAATGCCGATTTTGAAGAAAACGATTCACGCAAAAATCACCCTCGTTTTGTGGATGAAAATTTTGACAAAAATCTAGAACTTGTTCATAAATTAAATGCTCTAGCAAAGAAGAAAGGCACTACTAATAGTCAACTTTGTTTAGCTTGGGTTTTAGCACAGGTTAATATTTACAAATTTACAAATTGTTAAAAGTTAGTTAAATTTCAATACGTGCTTAAAAGCTCAATTTATAGGGAGACAATATTATTGCAATTCCAGGAACAAAAAAGAATAAATATTTGGAAGAAAATATCAAAGCAGCGAATGTTCGATTTTCTCCTGAAGAATTGGCTGAAATTCGTGAAGCTATCAATTCTGTTGAAATTTTTGGACATAGAAGAAAGAAATAAGCTAAATTAGGTATTACGTTTTATTTATTTTATTCATATTTAATTGTGAATAGATGTGTATTTTTCCCTTTATTTGAATAAATTAAAATCCACTTCCACTTTATATTTATCATTTATGTATTTCATAAATTTTGGTTCTGATTAAAGAACTATTAAAATATATAAAAAGAAATCCATTCAAATGATGTCGAAAGTCGAATGCACTTATATTTCTTATTAGAGGTTGGAACCGATTTTATTTATACAATTCGGATTTAATCTCTTACCTCGAATCAAATCCTGTTTTAAACCGAATTTAAATAAACTCTGTAATAAACTCGTAAAACCGAATCAACCCGATTTGTAATATATACCATTATCGTCATATTATTAATCATGTCCAAATCAAAAAGTTTTTTCTGCCAAGTCAAAAACTTATCGAATCGGCAAATAATCATTCAGTCACTTTTTTTATTAGATGTCCCAAAATTACAGCTGTCTTCTTAAATTCTGAAACAACTGAAAAATTGCTGATGACCGAATCAATAAGTAACTGACTTCGGAAACTTATCAATTCGGTCATCAGCAATTTTTCCAGTTGTTCCAAAATTTATAAAAACAGCTGTAACGTTATTTTTGGGAATCTGGTGATAAATTGACTGAATATATATTTGTTAAATTATGCTGTGATGAAGAATACTACCGGGTGAGTGAAAAGTAGCTAGACAGTGACTTTTTTTAATCACTATTATTATCATTTTAACGTTTAAAATCATTGCAATAAATTAAAAAAGGTCACTATCTAGTTACTTTTCACTCACCCAGTATATTATTATTTTATTTTTACTGAATAATATTTTTAAAGCATATTCATTATTGCTTCAGACAAGTTGGATGTTATATTTGTTACATTAGCAAGTTAAATTTTTCAAATTCAACAGTGGTTTCGTGTATTATGCAAAGGAAGATGTAGATCGTTCACTTCTATCCTGTGGTCATTTAATAATGAGTCTAATACTGTATCTAGTAATGAATAAAAAAGGTCGATGCAAGTATACCCGTATATGCGCGAAATAACGCGCAGGGGCGTTATTTTGAATAATGGCCCGAATTAGGCTTAATTTAGGCCAAATTTCGAAATTACACCCTTACGCGTTATTTCGAACAGGGGAGAACGTCCCAAATATGGACAATGGTTACACGAATGTTGAGTGATTGTCACATGCAAATCAGCCAATT